GGATGGGGCTGGGGACACCGCTGTGACCGGACACAAACCCTGGATGGGGATGGGGACACCGCTGTGACCAGACACAAACCCTGGATGGGGCTGGGGCTGGGGCCACCGCTGTGACCCGACACAAACCCTGGATGGGGCTGGGGCTGCGCAGCCCCGGTGCGACCCAGGGGAAGGAGCGGGAGAGCCAGCCCTTCGCAATCAATTATAACAAAGCCTGGGCAACAAACGCAGGTAATTAGACTCATCCAGAAGTAATTATATTTGTTCCACTCGGCTGAACTTTAAAAAGTAATTAATAGGGGATAGAAGGTGACTGGGGGGGTGGTTAAAGGTTTCCCGACAGCAGTACGGATGGAGGTTGAGCCTCCCATGAGCTGCTGTGACCAACAGCAAACTCAGATGACCCCACCGGGTCCCCCAGCACCTTGCCAAGAGGAGAATTCCCTCCTCATTTTACAGGTGGGGAAACTGAGGCATGAGGGGCACACCTGCCTGAAGCCCCTCACCAGGCCGAACAAGCACTCACCGACCCCAACCCCACCACAAACGCGTGCCAGACCACACAGTTCAGTTGTTGGCTTTGGGTTTTGTTGCTTTCTTTTTTTTTTTTTTTGTTTAATTTGTCATGTTAAACTAAGGACCACCAGGTCTGTCTCTCGGAGAAAAACAACAAAAGGCACACACGAAAACAAAGTAAAAGTCCAAATGCCTGAGAAAAACAACTCCAGGTTAGGAAAGCGATTTCTTGAGACACTGGTTGGAGTTTTATTGGCAACAAGGCTCTGCCTTTCACATGCTTGGCCCCGGCCTCACGGCCCGCTGCCTCTTCCCACCGGGAACAGCCATGGAAAGCGGAGGCACCGGGAAGCTCCGCACCCTGCCGAGATGGCCCGCATCGCCCCGGGGTGGCCCGGATCTGTCCCCCCCCACCCCCTCACATCCAGCCCTTGGCATGAGGTGGACAGCGCTTGCCCGCAGGAAGAAAACGGCCCATTAAAACATTCATGATTGGGTTGATTGAAAAGCAGACAGCGGCGAGGCCAGCCCAGCCCCGGGGAGGACGTGTCCGCAGGGCCGGATCCAGGATTGTTCCTCCCCGGAGAGTCCCGCCGGCAGCACCGGCACGGCTGTGCCCTGCAGCCTCGGAGGGGCACGTGCCAGCAGCCGATGAGCCCGGATACCCTGTTTCCTCGACATGGCTCTCCCCTGCTTCCCGCTGGGAGCTCCCATCTTTAAATGCCCAAATCCTCCTCGTAGGGGAAGCCTGGAGATACGCGTTTCTATTGCACCTCTTCCTGGCAGATCCAACACTGCAAAACCACGCTGGGGCAGAAATACCTGCGGCTCCAAAATGCCCCCCACCTCCGGAGGGGTCCGAAGCCCTTCGACGCCAGACCCAGGCAGCCTTCCCAGGGGTGGAGAGGATGGGGAGAACAAGGGGTGCACGTTATAAATATAAAATCATTATCTGCTACAAACAGAAGACGTATATTGTACATCTTTGACCCATATACACAAGAACACAATGTGGCATCCATCAAACCCACGGGGGGTTGGACCCTCCCCCCCGCCGCTGTGCCCACCCCGGGGGAAGAGGAAGGCGAAGAGGATGGAGAGGAGTGGGGACAGGCGCGAGGGGCTCTCTCACGAACCCACAAAGTGCTTGGGTTCTCCGGACCCTCGGAGCGAAGCTAGGCCCTGAGAGAAACTTCTTGCCCTGCCGCCCTCGGGGGGAAGGATTTTCCGGCCAGGCGGGTCTCTGATAAGGCATTTTCATCTGGGATTTGGAGCGAACGGTGTCGGAAGAGAGAGAGGGGGAGCAGATGGGGCAGTGCTCGTGGTGGCAGGTTAACGCGAGGCAGCGAAGCTGAGGTGGTCCCAGCCGGACAAGCCCAGGGCAAAGGGTGGAGAGGATAGGAGGGCTTCGTCCTCGGCTCAGTTTATCTGTGAAGCTGCCCCCCATGTCCTCCCCCCCAGCCCCTTCACGCCTCTCTCCCTGGCTCGAGCCACCGGCACAGCGTGAAATACTGACGGTCGTTGGAGTGGCACATCCAGGCGCATGGAGTGGCAGACAGGCACACGTTAAGAGTTAAGACAAGAGTCAATGTGAGCTTTGTACAGCGAGGAGCAGCTCCCGGCTGGAGTGTCCGAGGACTTGGGACGACAAAAATGCCACAGTGATCAGATTGGGCCAGGACGAGAGGGCAGGCGCAGGGGAGAGGAGGGAGTCAAGTCCTGGCACCTATCGGCGGTAATGATTGGGGGCATCTGCAAACATGTACTTGAGTCTGTAGGCTTCGGCCAGCAGGAGTCCGATCTCTTCGTTACCCCAGTGTATCGTGGGCAGGTTTTGTAACAACATTAGAAGGCCCTGAAAGAGGGGAAGGTGCTTAGTTTGGGGCGGTTGAGGCAGAGTACAGCTCCAGAGCAGGCTCAGGGCTGGCACGACCAGAGGCAGCAGCACTTTCGCTCCCCACACTCGCAGGTCTGAAAGGCTCAGAGACAGCGTTAAGATGTGCTCATGTCTAGATGTGAATCAGTGAAGCACCTCAGATGCTCCCAAACCCCTTGTGATAAAGGGTGCTACCATAGTGCTACAGCTGGACGCCAGACGGCAAACATGAAGGGACTTAGCGTGATCAAAGCTCGAGCCCAGGGAAGAGCATTTGAAGTTTGAACCCTCCAACAGCTCAGTTCTCTTTCCTCTGAGCGCTACTTTTAGGCAAAGATCCTGAGACTGGATGATCCTGGAGTCAGCTTTGAGATGACGGTTGACTGTCTCCCCGCTGGGTTCCCAACCAGAGCAATTCCCTCCCCTCTACCCACGGGGAATTACCCCCAGCCCCAGGGACTTACTTGAAAGTCTTCCTCATCGAGGATCTCCTTCCGCCACTTGATCAAGAAGGCGGCGCAGACATACAGGTGGAAATGGGAGAATCCTTCTGGCTCCGACTGCAGACAGCAAAACCCTGGGTCAGCTCCTGCAGCTCAGCTGGAGCACAACTTCCCTGGACACAGATGTCCTACTGGGCCACCCATCACCCAACTGGCTAGAAATGCCCTGGGGCCACACTGCTTTGCTCCCCTCATCTCCCCAGCGGCATGGTGCTGCCAGGACACCTCTGTCCCCCCGTGTACAGGGACTTGGCCCCACAGTGACCAGCCAAGCAGGGAAGGCAGCGTACCTGGTAGGTGTCCCAGAGGCGGATGGTGCAGCGAAGAGGCAGCTCCCTCATAAGCAGATTGTTCATCCAGCGAAAGGCAAACTGCAGGTATTCGACCTCGTACTTCCTAAAGTGATTATGTACCTGCTCTGAAACAGCACATTTCACTTACATACATGGGGACCACGGTGCCCCAGCTCCCACACAAGGCACTGCCCCCAGCACGCTGGCTTTCACGCACTTTCAGGGTGAGACCTCGTCTCGCAAATGCCTCCACTCCTCACCTCATACTACCTGGCCAGCAAACCCCCATTCCCTGTAGGTTTCTGGCTGACCCTATGCTGTCCTGCTTCCATACGCGTTGTAGGTAAGCATCTACCTGAGGGTGCTACTTGCAAAGGAGGCCTCGTACTGTTGTGACCTGCTCAGATTCCCTTCTCACCTACCATCGATCCGGCTGACTAGCTCCTCCAGGGCTTTGACTTTCTTCTGGATCCCTGGCTGTGCAAAGGTGTAGTTATCCTGCGGAGAAAGACCATGTGTCAGAAGCAGCAGCTCTAACAGCAGCTAGAAATGACCAAAACCAGATCCCTAGCTCCACAGGGAACCAAGAGGATCACGAGCCAAGGAGACATGGCTCTTGAGCACCAAGATCATCTGCCTGCTGTGAAGTTGTGAAGTCCCTAGCTGGGACAGCGCCAGTTGGACATGCTATTTCCCCAGGGTTACACCCAGGGGTTTTGCTTAGTAAAGGAGCAAAATCTCCCTGATGCTGGGACATGCAGAGCGCTCACCCAGACACAGAGAGAAGATGACTGCACTGCTACCCCAGCAAGGGGAAAGAAACCTCTGCGGCCCTGGAAGAGGCTCACCTGTATCCCGTCCAGCAGCTTGCTCATGCACCAGAAGCTATCGGCTTCGATGCTCCGTAAAACGTCCTGCGACAGGTTTGTCACGTCAAAGTTCTCCACGTCCTCCTCTGGAAAACAGAGAGG